CGATTTTATATAAAAAATCATGACATTTTTAATCCTAGTCAAGTCATTGTGCTAAATATATGACATATAAACAGTTAACCATCAAACAATGATTTTGCTATTATATGCTCATTAAATGTCAATTGGTATAATTTAATTGCCACTGTAATCAGGCAAATGCACTTTTGTCAACTTATCTTTGCTGAGTTATGGCCCCTGATTATTATTTGATTTTTTTTAGCGGACCGTTTTAAGACTAAAAACAGCTCGAGTTCCTGAAAAAAAACACTTACTAAATGCTGAACAGGACAGAGGTTTGAAACATGTATATTTGTCACTTTCTTTGACAGTGGTCGCAGAAGCTTTCTCAAAATTTCACAACATAAGTCTGGCACCCCCATTTCAAGACATTAAATAATTAATTTACATTCAGCAAAATAGGTCCATACTTGTTGTAGACCATTGGTAGACTCCCTGCTTAGTTAAGCATTGCTTAGCAATCACTAAAGGTATTGTTAAGTGTTAAAGTTTTCTTAAAATCTGTTTATTTTGTATCTTTCGTTTATTTAAGTACGAGATACGATGCTTAAATCATTGATAAAAGTCATCTCTTAGCAGACCACTTCTATTTACTTAGACATTTCACTTTTTATTTATCTATTGTGAGATATTTGGTGGGAATGATGGAGTGACAGAAGAAAAGCTACTGTATGTTTATTTTGCATGATTATCGGCAAGCAGGGATCAAATCGGTGTCGAATTTAATGCTGATTATCTAATATGGGATTAGAGGATTATAGATAAATGTAGAAGAAAATGAAACTAAACTGTCGTCTGCTGCTGTTTTGTTTTTTTCTCCGAGCCAATCAGTTTTCTTCAAGTACAGTTTATGAATTTAATCTCTGTGAAAGCTTAAAAACTTGTGCAAAAAGAAAAAAAGCAAAGAAAAAAAAGGCTTATTATCTACTCTAATCATTAGTTGATTTTGAACTATATGCATCAAAATAAAAAAAACCTGTACAATTTTATCTCTAAATATTCATATGATTTCTTTCGGCTGGTATTTGGGTACAGGCACTGATTAAGGAATCAGTTGGATACTCAGGTCATTTAATTAAATTTCATTTTCTTTCTTTAGGTTCATTATGAATTATATTAGGTTTATAAGGAATTTTTATGCAGAAACAATTACACTACACCTATTTTTAAAGATAACTCTAATAAATCTCATTGCTTTCATCTAAATGTTTTCAAAATAGTTCTAAAATATTATTTGATTTTGATATTATCTTTCCATTTGAGACGCATATAATTATTCAACTGCGGTTAGAAAGATAAATACAAAATTACAAAAGAAGAACTTAACATGTCCAGATGGTCAGTTTTGAATTTGGCCTCTTGACCTGACCTGAGTCATCCTATTTTTTTTTAAAAAGCTAGTGTTTGACGTTCGCACCTGAGCTAACGTTACCAAGTTAAGTCATTCCAACACGACGGAAGCCGCTGTTTTGTGTTCTTACGATATTTACTCAAGCTCGGACAATACATTGAATAGAAGACCCATCATAAGCAAGTTTATTTTGACCATTCAGTAATATTTACATAAGATGGGACAATCTGACAAGTTATTTTAATAGATCACCGTGTATCTTTTAATGGGCGAGCAAATCTTTATCTGTTTTGGAAAAAGAAAAACTGTCGAGCATCACTTAAGGTAGCTTTTGTTATGTACATTGTTACTCTTGTTAAACAATCTTTGGCTTAATTTGACCAGGTTGTGTCCATTTTGTTTGACTTGAAAGGTTAGCAATAGTCCTTAATCCCTGTTTTGTGCTATATGATACCATCTGGTTAGATCCTCTTCACATACCTTAACCTTAGTCATATGCAGAGCAAAAACAACGTAGCGCAACCATATTGTTCATCTTCAGATAAAGCTGTATTGCATTTATCCCTCTGACAGTTCAATCAAAGCTTCTTCACATAGCTGGTGTTTTTATTAAGACGTTGACTCTGTGGATTATATATAGGAGAAGTTTGTATGTTACATCATGGACTTCTGTATGCTCATACCATATAAGAAATAAGCAAAACTCCGTGACAATCTGTATCTTAATTTATTTCATAAATTGACAATTAAAAAAATTCAATATCATACTGGCATTCATTTACTTTTACATCATAATAAGCATCAACCTTATAAAAGACTTAAAAGAAGTTATACTAATTGTCCATCTTTACTTTCATTTGAGTTCTTCAGTTAAAGATTTCTTTTAATACTTTTGCTTTGAAACATTACTTACTATCATATCAATTCTTAATGTTTCTGATAAATGTTGATGGTTCGGCTGCAGGTATCCGATGATGATGATTATAATACCAGCATCTACTTTTGTTTCATCATTTGCATAGTCAAAATGATGATGATGATGAAGGTGATGATGATAATGTTGATGATATTGAAAATGTTGATGATGATAATGATGATGATGATAATGATGATGAAGATGATAATGTTGATGAAGATGATGATGATGATGATGATGATAATGATGATGAAGATGATGATGATGATAATGTTGATGATGATGATGATGATGATGATGATGATGATGATGATGATGATAATGATGATAATAATGATGATGAAGGGCCTTCACTTGATGAACAAACAGTCTATGTAGCTAACAGATTTCTAAATATATTAATACTTATTATTTGACTATATAGACGTTCAAGCCTTATGACGCATTCAATGATATAAAAGGGTTTAAAATTGTATTGTGTTTAACAGCTAAAAGTCATCGCATTATGTTTAAACAGATCATTCGATAATCAAAGACAACACAAAAGATTCATCTTTTCAATGTCGGATTAATTTCTACGTATTACTAATGGCTTTAGAAATAGATACATAACCAAACTGATCAATCTATAGCCGATATTTTTAATACGAATGTGTCAAAAGCATAAAATAGACATGTATTGTGCAAAGATAATCCTTTGTACATCTTAAGTATTTGTTAATAATAATGTTGTCCATTAAAGCATTTTATTATTTTCTATTTTATTACTTACTATTGTCATTATTTGAGTTAAGGGACAGATTGACGTAGCTAATGTATACTTCAATACAGAAATACGACCTTTTTCACATGCCCTTTATGAATTTATGTCTGAATTTGCTAAAAATCTTATCTGGTATAAGATATTAAACAAAGAAATGGTTTCACTTAGTTTTTATAAGGTCATCAAATATATCACTTTGAATGGGATGAAATGGGTTGTTTTTACTAATCAAAGGTAGAAAATCTAGACCAGGGATTACTAATGCATTGTTGAGGCTTTTTCGTTATTTGTCGTAGAAGTTCAAGAAGAACACGAAAATGTAACGACTGAATTGTCCGTATTAAGACTTTATAAAAATATAGATTTTATGACATCTGGTTAACAGATGAGACACAGATATTCTAGATTTTAGTATTTGCATAAAATATTTGAAAGGCAAGATATTGAGAAGCATCTTGTATGTAGATTTAAATTGTAACATGTGTGTAACAGTTATGTACTTTAAAAAGGTAAAATATATGTAAAATATGTGTCACTCTATGTTTATACATGTACATGCAGACCGCTACATTATGAAGAAGTCCTAAGAAATTTGATCGCTTGAATTTATCTTTTTCTCATGGGGTAAGTGTGGGGGTAGGGGGTGAAGTGCGATATGAGGCATTGTCGCAAAACTCAAATTACATAAAATGTAATATTGTTGAATCATCAAATTATCTTTTAGAAATTAAAAGTCTTTGAACATGGCTATGTAAAATGGACATGCCCTTTGGAATTTCCAGACTCATCCCTTATAAAATAAAAGATTTAAGTGAAGACATTATGTCAGGAATGTAATCTTAATATTGGGCCTGAGGAATGGTAATGCATCTGTTGTGCTTATTATGCTTGCTTTTATGCCCCACTTATGGAGGGGGAGGGGAGGGGGTGTGGGGGGAGATAAAGTTACCCTATTCTGCTGTTATGCTGTTTGCAACATCTCACTGTCCTACAACATCTCGCCATTCTGCTGTCACTACAATGTCTTTCAGTAGACTATTAAATGCAAAACACTGGAAGGTAGCAAAGTTAACCATGGCTCTAACAATGCCCACTCAAAGTTTGGCACCGTGAGAGGCAAGTTCGTGGACGCTTGGGTCCGCTAGGCCAATGCAGAAATCTTGAACACTGGACCACCACTGCTTCGCCAGCTTTGCCCGTGCTTAAACATTGCACAAATTTCTGGGGCGGTTGTAAACATTTTACAAGCAGACATGGGATTACTGGAACTGTGTCGGGCGTTGAAGCAGCGATCCATTGTGGTGATGAACTTTGGTTTGGTGTTAGTATGGAGGTGTTGGAGAGGAACCATGATTTGCCTTTAAATATGGGATGAAATGGACCAGGAGCCAATTTAGAACTTCTATCAAATTGATCCGTTAAGCTCTGTAGTTTAAAGGGCGGTATGCCGCTAAACCAACTTTAAACCCCCATTGAGCAAAGGCCTGCATGCGCAGAATGCGGCTCTATCAATGCTTGCGTCTACGCTAAATCAACACTCACTAATGTTAAGCCAATGCTAAAGTAAGGCCGACTTCGGCGATGCACAGCTAAGGCAACGCCCGTGTTTTTGTTTTTTTTCCCATTTTGTGTACGGTAACGAGCGTTGTGAAAATTCGATCTCCTCTCCCTACCGTTCAAGGAATACTCCAACGAAATTCAGGCCATGTGACCGGGCCTTTACAAGTTATTTCTGTGAAAATCTAATATCCAAGTATAGTGTGCAATGGAAAAGAGCTAAGTTTTAACAAATAGCTTAAAATATAAGTCTGCATATGGTTATCATTATTGAACACATATTCTAAGTCCAGATGCTCAGATAGTTTCACATTTGATAGTTTGAGGCATTCCATTTGAAAAGGAAGAAGGTTTAATTAATTGATTTACTAAGAATTGGCCCTTTATGTTTTCAGAAACTGAAAACGATGGCGGAGCATATGATTATACTAAATCAGACAGCGAGCAACTTTCAAGCTTCAGTGTTGAACAACAAACTAGCAGCAGTGATGAGGTGCCATTGTTTGTGCCGCATCAGGAATCCTCCGCTGGGTTCCAAACATGCACATCTGGGTTTCTAACACCTGCAGCCGGGTTTCAGACACCCTCATTAAAGCTTCAAGCACACGCAGCTGGCTTTCAAACACCGGAAAAATCAGGAGGAAAAAAAGAGAAATCTTCAGAATCAGGCATTGCTGCAAATATGATGGCACCACCAGGTTCAGATTGCAATAAGAATGGTAAAAAAACTTTTCTTTCCAAATGATATTTAATTTAATTGCAGATGCAGTAGGATATGGGACAATAAGATAAAAATCTCTCTTCAATAAAAGCACTGCACTTTTAGAAAGAAAGTGACAAAATATTTTATTAGAAGACACATACTATCTATGGTGTATAATACCTACTACATAAAATATTTCTCTTCATAATGCAATCTGATTTTAATTGATTTCTCAAATTTATTGATTTTTTAAAACATTTATACTTTAGATCCTGATTACATGTCAAAAAACACAGATGACAATCAAGTAGACCATGTTGTGTCTGCTGCAAGTACTTCTTTTCTCTGTAAAAATGAATCAAGCACAGCTACAAAAGAAGAGTGTGCCTTTGAGGACTTTATGTTGAAGAGCTTGGATGACAGTCATCCTGGAGTTTGGACAAGAGTCCGACTTGAAGCAGGAAAATTAATCGGTCCAATGACAGATAAGAGCCAGAATAAAGAGGTAAATTTTGCTTGTTTCGATTTATATGTACAATATAGATTCTGGAATATTTTTTCAGGAATGAATAAAAATTGCTATTAACCCGTTACTGCATAAGCATTTTGTGAAAAATGGCTGTTTTCATTGAAAATCCAAGTTAAAAGTTCAAATTGCTATGAACTATAAAAGATGCTTCAATATTAATCAAACTTATTAATTGGCACAAATGTTGACTTGACCATAGTCTTTGAAACGGCATGCTCAGTCTTAAATTTCCTGTTACCATTGCTATGAGGGGACATCTCAAAATTGCCAAAAATCACTATTTTGAGTTGATTTTTTCCATCAAAACTGATTTCAAAGTGCTGCATCTTCTCAATGGATTGAGATAGAGTCAAAGGCTTTTCGGCATTAGTTAGCTTCTGATCGACCTGAGGCCAATGTTAGCTTCCCGCAAGTCCAAAATTTTCTCAGCGGTATGGGGGGCTGCTGCCCCCTTCAAACCCCTAAGCAGAGGGTGGCACATTTGATGTATCGTTTGATAGGGGTCAGCGCGGAAAAAATTATCTCTATTTTAAACAACATTTCTCAAACAAAAACAAGCATCTGAGGTCTAAAAAAGGCATTTTTTCACCATTTGAGGCCTCAAAAAGGGTAAAGGCGTGAAAAGACGTCTATATAAGTCATGGGTTAAAGCCAGAGGCCAATCTTTTATTAATCTTGCAGTCCCTATATTGATCAATATTATACATGTACACTAAACTTTTACTTTACTTCTGCAAAATTTTTTTTTCAAATGCTAGACTGGTCTCAGAATTCTTTATTTATCTTTTTTTCGAATATGACTTTGTGTATATGAGTTTTAAACATATCAGTGCTCAATCTGTGTGAATGGTATCTATGTTTAACAAGGGCCCGCATAAAATGTAGCATAAACTAAAATTCTTTTATCTGATTTGACAATTTTAACAATCCAATTTATAGACTGGCATTTTCAGTTCTTTTTATTTTCATAGACCCACATTCTTCAAAACATGTCATTTTTTCACATATTTTTTCTAATTAAAAAATTGTTTTCATTATTGTTTTCCTAGGATTTGTAAGTTATTGTATTACTTTTACTTTATTAAGATCTCTTTTCAAGTTACTCCAGGGAAGGGAATTTGTATTGACATGAAAACTGTCACATGTTTCATTACTTGAATAGACACTCATTAAAGGTTGCAAATAGCCATGAAAGAAACATTCAGCAAAAGACATAAACATTGTCAATGCGATTTTCATCTGTCCAATATATTCTTTAAAAGCCTGTCCATATGTGACAAGATGGTTGTAACACGTTGGCAATAGATTGTAATGTGCCGTTGTAGCATACGACGATGCGACAGATCGTCACAATATTATCATCATAAAGATGGTGATGTAGAAGACATTAATCTGTTAATATGAAATCAATATTTCAGACGTTATCATGTATTACCATGTTAAATGCTGATGTGTGATATGTTTATCTTTATATCAAGCCCAAAAAACATTATATATACAGTATAATGCATATTAATTAACCTAAAGAACTGAATAATATTTGTAAAAACATTTTTTCTGTACTTTTCTTTATGTTTTTATATTATATACATGTGTATCTAATTTTTTACATAATATAAGCCAAAGAAACAATGTATAAAAAAGCAATAACTTTCCTTTCTTTCTTTTTTCCTTCCTTCCTTCCTTCCTTCCTTCCTTCCTTCCTTCCTTCCTTCCTTCCTTCCTTCCTTCCTTCCTTCCTTCCTTCCTTCCTTCCTTCCTTCCTTCCTTCCTTCCTTCCTTCCTTCCTGCCTTCCTTCCTTCCTTCCTTTGTTGTCAAAATTGTAAAGTATATTTTAACTGAAGAACAGATTTTAATGAATGACACTTACTGAAGCCAAATTAATTTATTTGTTTTTCTGCATGTCAGCAATGCTGATTAATGTTTAATTGTTTCTTTGGTGCCATCTTAGAGCTCAGTTGTAACAAGCCCGCAGGAACCCGCTGAGTGATATTCCGTAGATTTTCTAAAAAGACACGTAAAAGAGCGTCCTGTCACTATCATGTCATATTGACACTCGGCGTGTCTACCACCTGTTTTATTCACGATGGTTAAAAGTACGGCAAAAAAAAAAAAATTGACAACAAAAAGAAGAAAAATACATAACAGAAAAAAAAAATATGGGAGAGAGAGAGAATAAAAATGTAATCATATACAAGCTTCTGAAGTCGTAACGTTATGTAATTATTACCAGATGATTTCCCAGGAAGCCTTTTTATTGAAGCTCTTTTACCAAGGCTTTTTTGTACAAGCTGTAATTAGGTGGTTGTCAGAATTAGTTCGGCACTTACATTATGTAGCATACATAAACATGAATCTTCTTTTAAAGTATTTAAGTTAAGTTGAAAATAATATGCAAGAAAATGATAAGTATATGTTATGTGTTAATATGTAAGAAATTTATAATTATCCATTTACTTGATAACAGCAGCATCACTATAGTCCTAGAGCCGGGCAAGTCTTTTAGATTTGCACAGTGTTACTATTAGCATACAAGAAACTGTCGGATGTTTAATTTTGATATGTTGATGTTAAAGGAACACCATTGAGGTCCAAAAGACTTAAAATTTATTTTCTTATATATTAAGATCAATGAATTTTGAAATTTTCCCTGAGAACTATGAATGACTTTTTTGAAGATTGAAAAATCTGGAAATTTACTGATTGTTGGAAAAAAATAGCTTGTGGCTAACATCCAAGGGCGCTTTAACGCTATGTTTGTATATACAGCAATTGACGTCACTTCAAAAAGTTATTATTTTTATTAAATGGCTTTATTACACTCTTGCATTGTGGGTAATGTGATAAGAAATTTTATTATTGAATATCGCTGCTGAATTCAACATTGACAAAAATTTTAAAAAAGTCTTCAAGATGGGTACAATTGATAATTTGTTATATGTAGATCTAAATGGTGATCTTCAGGCATTTTATGAATACGATTTAAGTGTGTTATATTTACATAGACTATTAAGTATATTTTGTCATGCCAAATGGAGTGAACATGCGGCTGTTACTAAATTTAGCTTTTATCTTCCATACAGAACAGTTATATCTAAGATTATCTCCGCGTGATGAAACTGTATCTGGTAATTTCTGGAGAAAAGAGCAATAAATCTTGAGATGTAAATATTTATCTCACGGAACAAGTTGTTACTGTTTAAGAGAGGGGGGTAAAAAAACAACTGAAAGTCATTTATTTGGGAGGGCTTAATTGAATTTATAAAGCGGACCCGATAGTATCTCTTAAGTCTCGGATACATCACATTTGTTCAAATGACAAGTCTTTATAAATTCTGTGAGTTCTGCTCTTTTAATTAGATAAACAAACTTGGTAAAAAATGCTTCTTTTTTGTTCTTAGATATATCTATTTATTATGTTTTTTGTGAAGTTCGCCATGGGCAGTAATGTAAAGTAGGTAAAACCTGGAGGTAAATATCTTAATATTAAATTCACAGAATTATAATTATAGTTATAACAGTTTATTTACTGTATGTCTGTCTGTCTGTGCATTTGTGTTTTTACAAGGTTTTTAGTTGCTAACTGGTTTCTCAGAGGCATTCAGGGGTTTGAACTTATAATGTTTTGAACACCAAGGGTTTCCGAGGATCTACAGACTGAGCTATCCAGGTGCTTTCAAATTTCCTCCACTGAATTATAAGTGAATAGTTCAGAACCATGACATTTGAAACACAACATCTTGACTCTCAATATACAGTTAATTAGACTAGGAATTACATTTTGCCTAGTCTATGTTGGTATCAAAAGACCTAATCAGTAACAGCTAACTTACTATAAATTTAGTAGAATTGTTAAAAGTCTTATATCTTAAGAAGTAAAAAATGGACAGAATTATGGATTGATCCTTTGCCTAGTGGCGTTGGTGTAGGGCTCTTTAATTTGAGGGACCATGGGTTTGAACCCTACTTTGGCCATGACCATATTTCCTCATTAAAAAAAAATGATGACCATTACAGGTTACTCCCAGGAAAAACTGAGGCTAGAAAGTAGTTCAGTTCAAATATAAAGCAACCCACTTCCTTCTGAATCAAGCTTATAAATCTATGAAATTTAACAAAAAGGTCATTTTAAAATTAGGCGTTGAACAGATATGTTTGAGAACGCAGACGAATTTACAGTAACACTGTGACGAGCCAGTCATGAATTGTATCAATCAACGTGTATGACACAAGAGAAGTGTTGATGACACCACGCAGAGAAACACTGAATCATGGGAAAATCTCTATAGTCTATTCTCTTTCTGTTTGTTTCTCTGTGACTGTATCAGCCACATGCTGCATCAGTGGTTAGAGGTTATTTTTGCTTTGCTTCGAGATTATTTTTTTTCCCTCCAAAATGTCATACGCTACAGTGCAGTGAAAATAGCTGTTCCTCCTCTTGAAATCTCAGTTAATATTTGTATTTGATTCGATTCAGTATAATTCCATTTTCATCAAAAGTGAGTTATGGAGTATAAAGTATAATTAATGTTATAACGATTTAAATGAATTATTTTTTTTCAATTTATTTTATAACAAGTATTATTCATCAGATTATCTATAATCTGATTGTCCTTGAATGAATTATCTCCCTTCCCAGAAAAAATTTAATACAATTTCAGTTTTATGTTTTATTAGAGTCTTTCTGAATTTAGATTGTTATAAGAATATACACATAGTTAGTTATAATATTACTTTATATTGCATCAATAAAAAAATGCTCAGATGCTATTCCAATGCATTATCAATAATTTTATTGCAATAATGCTAATTTTAATTTGTAATATTTGTTAAGAATAGGATTTTTTTTGCTAAGGAAAAAGTTCCAATGCCAGTAAAAGAATATTGTATTATACAAGTATATGAACAAAGAGACATAAATAATATTGATAAAAGAATAAAAGGCATTTAGATATAGGCATTAATGTAAATGTGT